TTACAATTTATGACAAAAATCAGCAAAGACCCATCGAAACAACATCTGATACACAAATTTAATAATACTTTTAGATATTTGGATGATATTTTGGCTCTCAATAATGACGACTTCAGTGTGTATACTAAAGAAATTTATCCTGTTGAACTTACTTTAAATAAAGCTAATACTAACAATGACCACTGCCCTTTCCTCGATCTTGATATCTATATCATTAACGGAAAGCTTAATACTAAAATATATGATAAAAGAGATGATTTTTCATTTCCTATCGTTAATTATCCATTTTTAGATGGTGACGTTCCCTTGTCACAATCTTACGGTGTTTATATATCTCAACTTGTACGATTCGCTCGTGTATGTAACAATGTTTTAGATTTTAACGAGAGAAATTTATGTATTACTGAAAAATTATTACACCAGGGTTTTCGATATCACAAACTAGTCAAAACATTTACTAAATTTTATCATCGGTATAAGGACATCATTCGTAAATATAGCTCAACATGCAGACTTCTTATACGTTCAGGTATTTCACATCCAATTTTTTATGGAAATATTCTTTATAAAGCACAAAAATGTCAGTATTCACCTCTGAAGCTAACAAAACCTTTAAATAGACTTATTAAGAAGGGATATAGTTACGATACTGTTGTCAGGTCATTAAAGATTGCATATTTTGGCGTTAATATTGATTCACTTATAGGGTCTTTGCATCGGCACTAAACACATTTATTTAAAAACCAGTTGTTGGCATGACACGGGTTATGTTCTTCTCATATATGTTATGATGGTATGATACTAAACCCCTAACGGGAAGGATTGTGCCTGATATTCATATGATGAAGACATAATCTTTCAATCAGTTTAATTGAAGTCTGGAGCTGGCATGTCAGTTAACTGCTAGTAGTCTGTTGTTATTTATGTATTATTGTCATTTTGTTTATTTTCTTTGGTTACATCTTCTGACATCAGACTCGGACTTCTCTTGAACTGAATTTTAATGTGCGTATTGTTATGCGTTTACTTTTCTACATTGGCTAGGGGTATAGGGGAGGTTTGAGATCTCATAAACATGTTTAACCCCGCCGCATTTTTGCGCCTGTCCCAAGTCAGGAGCCTCTAGCCTTTGTCAGTCTTGTATTATTTTTAATTTTAGTTTCTTGTGTACAATTTGGAGTTTAGTATGGCGTTCATTATCACTGAACTAGTATATATATTTGTTTAGGGGCCAGCTGAAGGACGCCTCCGGGTGCGGGATTTCTCGCTGCATTGAAGACCTGTTGGTGACCTTCTGCTGTTGTCTGTTCTATGGTCGGGTTGTTGTCTCTTTGACACATTCCCCATTTCCATTCTCAATGTTATTCAGACCACTGCTCTCAGTTCTAATTCTAGTGTGCAAAATTTGTCCTAGTCTACAACCACTTTAAAAATATTTTGGGACAACCCAAGTTTTCTTCAAATATTTCTTAAATATATATAAAGAAGAATTTCTGATATTAATTGGAATCTCGTTCCAAAGACGGACAGTAGAAGGAAGAAAACTGTTATGATAATAATTCGTTCGTGCAGGCATGTGAGGCACATTTCCTGCGTTGCGTGTCCCATACGGATGTGATTGGCCAAAGTTGGTAGGTAGATATAAGAAGATGTGGTATGAGTGCCAATGAGACAACTCTCCATCCAAGTCAAAATTTATAAAAGTAAACCATTATAGGTCACAGTACGGTCTTCAACACGGAGCCTTGGCTCACACCAAACAGTAAGCTATAAAGGGCCCCAAAAAATTACTAGTGTAAAACCATTCAAACGGGAAAACCAACGGTCTAATCTATATAAAAAACGAGAAACGAGAAACACTTATGAACCACATCAACAAACGACAACTACTGAACATCAGATTCCTGACTTAGGACAGGTGCAAACAAATGCAGCGGGTTTAAACGTTTTAATGGTACCAAACCTTCACCCTTTTTCTGAAACAATAGTGTAACATCACAACATAGAAAGACACACTATAAAATATCAACTGAAATAGCTTAACTCAATCAAAGGACATATTAACACCATTGAACATACACTGAACAAATAAATTTGACCTATGACACAATGTAAATACAAAATAAATAAACTAAGGGAAGAATAATAAAAATAACATGTTATATCGGTAAGAAATGTTAAACAATTAAAGAAAAACAATATGCTCGAACAAAAATACCATCCATTTGCAATAACTTTAAACACAGGTAAATGAAAATAATTTTGTTGTTAGGTATACCTGTACAGTACCAATAGAGAAAGGTAATATTTTTACAAAATAAATAATTTTGAATACAAAATAAATAAACTAAGGGAAGAATAATAAAAGTAACATGTTATATCGGTAAGAAATGTTAAACAATTAAAGAAAAACAATATGCTCGAACAAAAATACCATCCATTTGCAATAACTTTAAACACAGGAAAATGAAAATAAATTTGTTGTTAGGTATACGTTTAAAGTACCAATAGAGAAAGGAAATATTATTACAAAATAAATAATTTTGATGTTCATAGTACGAAGTGAAAATTTATAGTTATACCAAACACTTATCAAAGCTGGTATATAGACCAGATATAACCCTGAATAACATTAAATAACAAAAAAGCAATACAATTAGTATCAACAGGTCAAATAAACAAGAAAGTACGATTTGAGAGTACTCGCAGTTACTGACAGCTAGTTAAAAGCCAAAACAATTAATAATAAAAAATCATGCATCAGAGACTAAAATCAACTAAAACACATCCCAGTGATTTAGTATTTTAACGTCATGGACAGTCAAAGAAGACATGACTTGTGCAATGCCAAAAATAAATGTATCGACAGACAGTAAGATAGTTAGTTTAACCTCTTTATAGATCAAAATGAACGTGGGTGTGTCTTTATACATCCCGTTTGAAAAGAATACATATTTAGTTATGTTTTAATTTGCATAAATACATAAATATATTATTCTTACAAAGTGTTGGTAAGTGGTTCATTTGAATAATAGATCAAGTTCCATTTAATCGAAAATTTAACAACTATGCACGCGTAGTAGTGAACGAGCAAACACACACTCGCAGTTCAAAGCATCGGAAAACAGGAAGTGGGTGTCCGACAGTTACAGAAATTGACCCAAGGGAACTTATTTTGAGTAAATCTTATATAAAAAGCAATAATTGTCTTTTTTTATTTCGTATATTTCTGTTTCTCAAGAGAAACTCTATACTTGAAAAACCCCTTTTTGAACATTGATGTTCTATAGACCTCTTCTTTTCGTTTCTGCAATCCTAACTCGTTCGATATGCCTGTGTCAGTACAGACATTTTATATTTACTTGAATGAATACGTAATCTATGTAAAAATGGTAAATTGTCAAACAGAGATTTATTTGCTTTGAAATTTTGACTGTAGCTGTACAAGAAAGTTTGACTGTAGCTGTACAAATATAGCAATTCGGGATTTCACATCTAAATTTGTACGGTGTTGTCGTTTATAGAGCTCGTAAATTAAGTAACGATTTTAAGGTTGTACTGTGACCTGTAGTTGATAAGTCCTTTGGTGTTTTGGTGGACCGTTATCTCATTGGAAATCATACAACATGTCCACATTTTTAAATAGAAGGTTTAAGTCCTCTTTCAACAGACAGTCGGTATTCCAATTCGTACTAAATGTGCATCCAAAATGACCGACTAGTTTTTGTACTCATATGAAGCAGAATTCACAAAGAACCTACTCAAAGACAAAACGAAAAAAGCATCTTGCAGAGTTATTTAATTTCACTTTCAGGTATTTTAAATATGTCATGTCAATCAATAACACACATTTCAGTCAACTTAAGATTAAGGATACTTTCAAAACTAGAAGGTCTGCTTCATGTGTTGATCTTTTTTTCGATATTGACACAGATGGACGATTCTGTTGTATGCAAATCCAAGTTCCTTCGAAATATAGCTGTAATGGTGTCTTCCTCAGATCAATAAATTTGCACTTCTGCTGCATACCATGTACCATTTAAATTGACTACCCATTTCTAAGCAGTAACATAGGAGGAAGTTTGCAAATCTCAATTAATACTTTACGCTCGTGAATGTTCACACTATATGGACTTCGTTGACAGTGGTGTGCTCCTGACACACAAACTGTTCTAACAGAGTTATAAGGAAGAACGATTGAAATCGATACATAAGTTTTACGATCACCATCACAAATTGATTGTCCGAAACGATTTGTCTGTGTCTCAACTCACTAGCGACATGTTTCATGATGTCAGATCCTAAGATAATAGAATAGTCTGATCTGTAATTGTACCGATCGTCACATTTTGAATTTGTTTTTTCACAATGGGTAATACATGCATAGCAGGAGACGCTTACCCTGTTGACAACCCCGGTCTTACTCCTTTTGGGGTTCATGCGATCCCTCGGTTATGTATTGTTACCTTGGTTTGTATCTTCTTAATCGATTTATTAGATTTGAACATCGTTAAACTACTATTGTCTTAATTTACAATACTTACATATATTAGCATTATTAATAAGCCATGTTATTAAAGTAGTTCTTGATTCTTTGTTCATCGTCATTTTTTTCTTAACGTTTTCGAAATAATTGAGTCTAGAACCACTGTCTGGAAATCCTTTATCAAAACATTGATTTTTTGCAAGGGCTTCTACAAGGATTTTCACGTTTTCTAATGTAACAATATATCATGAACGTGTCGATATCTCTGTAAAGATAAAATCAATAGTAGCTTGGAGCTGAGTATTTTTACACTTTACATGCAATTCAGACTGAGCACCTTGATATTCTACAGTCGACTCCATTACATCCAAACCATAGTAAAGTTAAATGTTTTAAAGCAGGTAAAACATAAATTGTTTTCTGTTCATCCTTGACGACAATGAATGTTTGAATATTCTTAATTACCTGTTCATTTATTGTATATTGTAAAAATTAAATACCACAGTAGTGTCTTTTATTCCGAAATTAGGTTTATAAACTTTCCTTTGCAAGCGGATGTTTTTGGAATTTTTTATCAAGTAAGTAAGGCTATTTTGTTCGTTTCGTTTCGTTTCATTTCTTTTATATTATTATTGGTTGTTTTTCAACAATCTAAATACATTTCATGATTTTACCGGCTTCGCAAAACTGAATAATAGTTTCATAACTGAGAGTTATTTTTCAACTGGATCAACTAAGCACGCACTTGGATATATTTTTGTGTTAAACTAGTTAGAACATGCAAAAGACGGTGATAAGCATTTTTATTGCCAAATAACAAGTATGGAAGATTGACATATTTCTTTAAAAAAAACCGGTATTTTTCAACACCATATATTAGAAAACTATTTTGAAGCCCAGGAAGAGAGACGTAAAAGGTTCCTTTTTATAATAACATGTTTCTCCGCATTATTCATCCTATTATAAGTACATTATCGAACCGTTATATATATTACTTGGGTCTGCACTACAGTCGTCGATAATTTAGAAGCAATCTCTGTGGCCCTTCTCGCATGCATTTCTTCCTAGATTTCAAAAACACTCTGTCAATTCCTTCTCTCCCACAGACAGACAAAAATACAAACGAAGACACATAGCAGTTTTTTTTAAAGATACAATCAGTGATTAAAGAACGCATGTCACTGTTATAACTGTAATATTTGACGATAAGACTAGCTGGTGGACAATTTCTTTGTATTGCTACAAATTGCCTCTTTCAATTAACGAATGAAATAATGAAATATATTTCATAGGAAAGAAAATACCATATGTTTTTGTCTATTGCTTTCGTAAAAATATACAGTCTTTTGTTTTGTTTTTTTTATATAATTTTCATTATTATTATTTACAGACCCTGTCTGAAAACCTAAATGATAACAATAAAATAAGTTTTCACTTTTAATTATCGTCTGCGTCGACTCGATGCCAGATGAAATAACATATTAAATCGTATTTTATCCAAATGTACTGAAATAAGAATAGGCATACCCGTCAGTGCTGAAAGATTTTAACTCTATTTTTTTTTTTTCAGTTTTTTTTTAATTGATAAAAAAGTCTATAGCAAATATGTATTCACAATCCAACCTCTATAGAGAGAGGTAAACTTTATCAAAGTCATTCGATTATAAGTACCATTCATAGAAATACGAATGATAAACACTTGGCAGATAATTGGATACTAACAGGGCAGATATGAAAAAAGGCATGTATTAACCTAGTTATCACTTGTTTGTGTGTATCAATAATTATAATTTCTTGTGAAATAACTTTTAAAACGAAACAAAAAACAAGAAAGTTCTGTTAAAACTCATTCAACATATTTGTAAATGTAAATTGTTATACTGTTTCTCATATATGATATGGCATAATGATCAGAATCAACAACAAAACATAAATGTCTTTCTGCTTCGCCATATAAACGCAAAAAAGCATTATTGACGGATCAAAGACATGAAGTCATAATTGAATTGCTTTGGGTTTTTTTCAACAGAGAACAATAACATTCTATCCTGCCCTGTGGTCAACTTATCTTGCTCCTGTCCAAATAACATGTGGTCGAGTTTGTTGATATCACATACGCAAAACTCGATATCTTTAACAAATATGTGAATGTTCACTCTCTTCGGTCCCGCCCGTTATTGTACAGTAGTACTGTCAGATGAAAATCCATCTTTTTGTAAGGTAGAGTATCTAATTTACAGTACATGAGACTCAATACGCCATTAATTACTATGTCCCGTGTTAAGATAGTGGCGAGGGGTAACGAAGGTGAGACCAGGTAACCTGATGTAAGAAACACAAGTTGTTGTTGATCAAAATGGTCTTTTTTCCAATGACAGTCAAACTTTCCCCTCTTTAAACAATTCCGAACTACCTTTCAGAACATACTTGCTTGATTTTTATTTAACTTGTTCTTGTCCTGAATATATCTTAAGAAAAAGATATTTAGAATAAATGTTCAGGAATATCTGTCCAGAACTGGACACTTTGTCTGAATGGATCACAGCTATTCGATCATGCATTCAGAAGCGCATTCAAAAACTACGATGCAATATGAGCAATATAAGAGTTACTAACCCTTTCAAAAATCAGGATGTTGTGGATGCTTTATCCTCTTTGCATGACAAATATGTCGTTGTTCCAGCAGATAAAGCCTCCAATAATATTGTCTTCATATGTAAAAACCATTATTTGCAATGTCTCACAACAGAGCTTGGAATAAATAGAACTACTGGTAACCCTACATATTCTTTAACATCATTTACCAAGGACGAAATTTTACAAAATCACAAATCTGTCCTTCTTTCTTTTGGTATCAACATCAAAGAAAACGAAGAAAATTTACCATCATTATACTGGATACCAAAACTACACAAAACTCCATATAAAGAACGATACATAGCTGTGTCATCAAAATGTTCGACTAAACATCTTTCTAAAGTACTGACTACTATTCTTTCTACAGTTAAAGATGGGCTTCAAAAATATTGTGATGAGATATATTCTACCAGTGGTGTTAACCAGATGTGGATTCTCAAAAATTCGAAAGATCTACTGCTTAATCTTCGATCACAATCTTTGCAATTTTGCAGCAACATAAAGACTTTTGATTTTTCTACGCTTTACACTACTATTCCCCATGCTCAGTTGAAAGATCGACTTCACCATCTCATTAAACAGAGCTATTTCTATAAAAATAGGAATCGTAGATACAAATTTCTTGTTTTGAGTTACAATAATTCATATTTTGTAAAAACCACACTGAATCTACCAGAAAATATACTGAAGGTGATATTATCAAAATGCTGGACCTTTTGATGGACAATATATTTGTTGAGTTTGGAGGATTTATATTTCAACAGACAGTCGGTATTCCAATGGGAACTAATTGTGCACCCCTACTGGCCGATTTGTTTTTGTACTCGTATGAAGCAGAATTCATTCAGAACCTTCTAAAAGACAAAAAGAAAAAGCACCTTGCGAAATTCTTTAATTTTACTTTCCGATATATTAATGATGTTCTATCATTGAAGAACCCATATTTCAGCCAATACTTACATCTCATATATCCCAGTGAACTTGAAATTAAGGATACTACTGGTACTAGAAGGACTGCTTCATACCTTGATCTTTTCCTAATATTGACACAGATGGACGACTTCACACGAAAATCTATGATAAACGGGACGATTTCAACTTCCCAATTATCAATTTCCCATTTCTCAGCAGTAACATACCCTCTGCCCCTTCGTATGGTGTTTACATATCTCAATTGATACGTTATTCTCGTGCTTGTTCACACTATACGGACTTCATATACAGGAGTGTGCTCCTTACGCAGAAACTGCTCCAACAAAGTTAAGAGGAGGACAGATTAAAAATGACACTCCGTAAATTTTACGGACACCATCACGAATTGGTTGATCCATACGATGTGTCTTTGTCCAAACTAACTAAGGACATTTTTACCACGTGTTAGATTGTGGTTTGTCATTACGTCGTCTGATCTTTTAATTACCGAACGTGACTTATTCCCGATTGTGGCTGTTTTGCTGAGTGTGAAACCGCATTGCTATAAGACGTGTCACGGTACTTTTCTATCCCAAATTCATGTATTTAATTTTGATGTTATATTTTTTATTCTCGTCGGATTTTGTCAAATGTCTTAACGTCTTTTCTGTTATATTCGTGTGTTATGGTAAAGATAATTAATCACCCCTTCATTTATTAGATTTTAGTTTGGTTCAACGAAATTTATACGATATATTTGGTTTACAGTTTGATACAGAAGAAACACCGACATAGCTAGATAATACAATTAATTATCTAATTACTACCACAATTTGATATTAATAAGTATTGTAATTTTCATTGTTATTAATAAATGTAATGTCAGTATTACAAATCTAATCTTGAATCAATCCTAATCCTATCTTATTTTTGGGAAATATTTTAACAAATTCAAATGTGACGTCACTTTGTGTGTTTTTTTAGAATTTCAAATGTGACGTCACTTTGTTCGTTGAGGCTTTGGCTAACTCGGCTGTGTATTTTTATGTGTTGGATTAAGTTGTTTTATGTAATGTATCCGTTTTTATTCTGTAGTTAGTCCCCACTTCGGTTTTATCATGTATATCTATTATATAGTCATTTTATAAAATTTACTGTTTGCAAAATTATAAATTATTCTAAATAATAAGGATGTTCTTGTCCCAGGCAGAAAACCCTGGTCGTGTTAGGCGCAACTTTTTGGAAGTTGTGGTCCTCGGTGCTCTTCAGCTTTGTACTTGTTTTGACTTTCAAACTTTTTTCATCTGAGCGTCACTGGTTGGTCTTGTGTGGACGAGACGCACGTCTGGCGTATCGAATTTTAAGCCTAGTACCTTTTGTTAGCTATTATTCGTGTGTTTCTTTGTCCTATATGTTCTCCCCTTTATTTGTATTGTGGTCCTGTCATGTGATGTTGTCGTTTTGGTGTTGTGTTTGACGTTGCCATAAAAGCGGGAGGTTTGGCATGCCACAAAACCAGGTTCAACCCACCATTTTTTTCTTGAAATGTCCTATACCAAGTCAGGAAAATGGCCATTGTTATATTATAGTTCGTTTCTGTGTGTGTTATATTTTAATGTTGTGTTTTTGTTGTGTCGTTGTTCTCCTCTTATATTTGATGCGTTTCCCTCAGTTTTAGTTTGTAACCCGGATTTGTTTTTATCTCTATCGATTTATGAGTTTCGAACAGCGGTATACTAGTACTACTGTTGCCTTTATCTATCCTAAACATAAGTGCCTACCTAGGTTTAAGGCTTTTCCTGCCTGTCTTAATCAGTCTTTCACATGTATTGTCATAAAAGTGTAAAAACCATGTACATGTTTAACTAATTTTAAAAAAAACTTCCCTTCATACATGTATGTACCAAGTATAGTTTAGTATGGTCCAATTAAATGAAATTAACACTTGTTTGGGAGCTTATTCATTTTTAAACTTATGCAACTCCATAAACAGACATTTAGGTACCGCTATTCAACATCGGAAACACATTGATTCCAAAAAATTTTGCATTCACTACAAAATAATTAGACATGAAATTTTTACGTAGGTTATTACTAATAAGGCTAAATTTGGGCTGTTTGTTGTATTATTATTTTTTCTTCACTTCTACTCTTTTTTAAGTATTCAGTTTAACATAAAATCTGACCTAGATTAAAATAAAAAATTGTCAGACGGAAAGTTAACACATTATTTTTTTTTTGTTAAACAGAAATTAATGCGATTTATAAATGTGTAATATTACTAGGTGATTCAATATGACTGTCAATGATGTGTGATTTCAATTATTTATTGTACATTATAAACATTATATACCCAAAGGAGATCTTTAAATTTTGACAAAGAAAACCATTATGTACATGATATACATTATATACCCAAAGGAGATCTTTAAATTTTGACATCAGAAAACCATTAAAATTTTAAATTGATCTTCATCAAAAAATAAAATTTAATAAAGTGAATGTCTTTGTCACATTAATTTGATTCTCAGAATCTTCCAAGGAAGTATATTTCTGTATGTTATAAAATTATATAGAACAGCATTAAACATAGACGAGTAATTACAAAAGGAAAGGTCCACAAATGCTCGACTATAACAACCAACAGAACGAATAGAATTTTAACAATCGAAATCTATTTATTTAATTATAACTAACACGTTTAGTTTTAAATGAAAACGCTTACCTTTTTTTTACTTTCTTTGTAGATATATTACAAAGTTTGCTTTACATTATATCACCACGAATATGAACCCCCTCCTAAAGGCCAGTTGTCACTATCAAAGTTTTCTTATACAAATTTTTTTCTGGTCAAAGTTTTTGATGGTTTTTTTTTATAGTGACAACCATCAAAGAAAAGTTTGACGGACTTAGATGGAATAGAATTTCATCCTTTTTTTCTTTTAACTTGAATGGACTTGGACGGAAATTATCCAATTACAATGCAGTTTTTACTTTGACCAAGTTTTTGATGAAAATCTTTGATAGTGATAACAGATGACTTAGACCAAGTTTACCTGGTCAAAGTGATCTTTGACCAAACATACTTTGATAGTGACAACCGGGCTTAAGAGTGGTTGTTCGGATTCTTTATGTGATAAAAACGTGGTTTTATCTTTATAAATGTAATGCGCAGAACAAAGGTATCATTTTAGTAAAGGTTTAACTGTCGACCACCATATAGTCAAGGTTGTCATACTCTAACGTCCAAGCTACTCTTGTGGTATGTTTTGAATATATTGAGAAATTAATTGTATTGTAAAAATATGTAAGGGTAGTATATATATATATATAAAATTGCATATTAGTATTTCCAGTACACAAACAAGAATGTGATAGAATTTTGGTAGAAGAGCAATCGTTTGGTTGTGCAGGATGTGGCTGGTTCTTGTCTTAAGTGGCTGCGTACTATTTTGCAATAGTCTTTATGCAACCAACAGTCAATCAAACAACTTATTTTTGGTTTTTGTTTGGTAAGCAACTACTTTAAGTGAAGTATTAGCATATTTATTCTGTTTATGGAGTTTGCATTTGTCCGATAACTTCCCACATTGCTCTTTTTACTTAACTATTTGTTGTATGTGTTGCTAGGTTCCTGTCTATTTGACCTACAAAATGTCCAGAAAACCACTTGCTTATTGAGCAACCATTTTAAAAATTAAATGTTCATGCCGACTCCTGAGTACACATTCGATTACAAGACACATTTAATTATGTCACACTGGAGTCAAAGCGGCCGGAATAGTGATTGTGACAAGTTGAGCATATTCGTTGTTAATATGCGAAACAGATATTTCATATTGGTCAACTAAATTGTGATGGCTTCCATAAAGGTATACTTTACCATTTTGACCCTTTCGGTAGGTAGCATCATTAAGCAGCAATACTCTATCAAGAAAATTATACATGTAGTGGGCAATTAAAGCCCTCTATGGAACATCATATAAGCTGAGGGATATATATTCCGTTAGCAGACGCTGCTGTAATGTTGTAAAAGAGAAATGAAAAAGACTATATCTATGATCTCCTTTAAGTTCAATGGGACAAATGCGATCAAAAGTAACCATCATTGAATCATAAAGTGAAAGGTAGCATTATCTATATAACGGGATCTGAAGCAAAGGACAAAGTCAACTTGTTTTCATTCTTCCTGGGAAGCTCTTGTATGAAAATAAAAATAAGATGTGGTATGATTGCCAATAAGATAAATATCCGCCAATTTTGAAATGACTTGGGTGTAAGCAACTTTAGGTCATCGTTCGTCCTTCAGCAAAGAACAAAACCTACACCGTATATAAAGCTATGAAGTCTGCCTGAAACGAATTAGGGAAATATAAGATATCGTCGTTCATGATCAGTTGCTTTGACATAAACGTCTTGCCGATTTTTTGGGGGCAATAAGCCAACCTGACCCTAAAGGACAATGCGAGATACTGTCATCATTTAGCATCCTGTCTATTGTAGACGTCGTGTATCAAATTCTAAAACGTACTAAAACCATGATTATATTTATCATGTTCTTATTTTAATTAAGTCTACGTATTTTTAGTGTCTGATATAAGTGGTGCTAAGGACAAAGAATCAGTGATGATAATCCAACTAAGAAGGATATTCCAACGCGAGCCCGACAAAATGAAAGAATTACAACTGCGACTTCGTCATCACCTTCCAAGTGAGATACTACAACCGGAGAGAGAATTTCAAGACGTTTTTGATGCTCTTACGTTAAAAAGAAAAATATCACTTGGTGAATACAGCTTCCTCTGTGACGTTTTTTCTGAAATTTATTTTGAAGCTGAAAAGATAACTCGGGAATATCAGGCAATAATTATAAATCTATTAGGTAAGCAGGGAAGATAGGTTTCTTCGAATGCTATCTGATAATAACGAGCTGCTGGTACCCCCTCCTATATATACTAGTACACAAAAAAAAGAAACTAACGCTACTTATATGTTTCATAACGAGTGAGAATTGGATATCGCTTGATAGTTTATAATTACTATTTAAATTGAATAACGAGGGATGATATCAACGATTTCCAATTCTCACAAGTTGTTAAGCCTATTTCTCTTATGATCAACCCTCTCATTGTGTTCTATAAAAAATTCCGCGAATCGTTGATCTAGTCAGAGACGTATATACACAATGTATAGGCCTATATATGTGTATATATGTCTCTGATCTAGTCTTTTGCACATGCCAGCATGACTTCACATGTCCTTTTCCAGCGTCAAACTTTAACAGTCGGAAAGCTGACCCCCGGTTTGACCCCATTTCTTAGGACAACAATGGAAGTCATGTGACTACCATATTTGGCCATTATTTGGTCATTTTTTCTTCATCTGAAACGAGTCTGTTTCCTCCAAAAAGTCATATCAAATGAAATCAAAGCATGCTATACGTTATAAATGCCAACTGTATATACTTTCTAGAAGTTCTAACATACACATTGTTTTGATTTAGCGTACTGAATTAGAATACGAAGCCTTCAAACCCCAGGTCGTCACTCGTCGCGTCAATTTTTGTCAACACATAAGTTGAAATTTCTTTCTTAACTTCTGGGGAACCTATGCTGAATTTAAAATATGTGATGAGGCTTTTTATGAACTGGCATGTGTCAAATTTGTGCCACTTAATACGCTGTAATACGCAAATGTGCCACTTCGATGTGTCGAAATTTCTGACGAAGCGGTTCCGATAGTAATTTAAGAGTTACGTCCCTTTGTTGACACTTTTCATGAACAAACTTATTTGTACTATTATGTATATTTAACATCATCTGCTGTTATTTACAAGTGAATATTATTAAAATAATTAATTATCTTTTTACTAAATATAATTTTATACCACAGACATATGTAAAACAATTATGTAAACATATTTTATCATTTTTAAAACAGTATCAGAACTGAAATAGGGCTTTTAAAATATTACAGTAAATGTTACTCTGGGTATTATACACCTTATCGCTATTTGGAAATCTGTCCCGGTTGACCCGAGAATCTGTCCCGCTTGAACTATTGACGTCATACAACAATCATTTTTCCATTGTGGCGTCAGATATTTTGTATTATGACGTCAAAATTTTACGGGAACCTTTGTGATGTCCAGTAATGGCGGACAAATAGCGATAAGGTGTATTCCAAGAGTTACTTTAATATTTTGGTATATATTTTTACTGCTGTAACCAAATAATACTTACACAGAAATAAATTTCTACTTCATTAAGGCCAGGGCTAGCCAAAATATGCATAAATACTGGATCTAGACAGGGTTAAAATGTTGAATTCCCTTGCAATAATGATGCCTAAGTATTCTCAATGTAAATTATTCATAACTTGAAATTAAAGGAAATTGGTTTGCAATCTGTGTATAGTTAAACTAGTTTAACAATAAATTTTTTCTCATTGATTCCATACATGTTCTACTGAATGGACACAAATTGTAAAAAAAAAAACCTAAACCAATGGAAAATTATTTGAATGGTTAATCATGAACTTGCGAATAAATAACAACGAGAAAGATTTGATCTCATATTGTTCTTCGTCTATTTAAAAAAAATAACTATTTTAGGCATATTAAAAGTATTTCAGTGCAGTTTCTGAGTGCTATTAAAGTCAATAATTATTTTTCAGAACACAAGTATGAATCACACTACATGTTAATTATGAAAATGCTTTGAATAAGAGTGATTAAAATGCAAGTCTGAAAGAGATTGTTTAAAGTTCAAAGGACAAGACTTTTATGTTTCCATTGTACATACATATTTGCATTTACTTTTGCAGGATTCCTTCATCACAAAAAATAATATTAACAATGAATGATTTTTTCCAGTCATCTTAAATTCAAGGTTCTTTACAGACAGTATAAAATGTCCTTACCTTATTGTTTAAGTTAATGTCAAAGATTTCACTTAAAGAGAATAATTAATCCAGTCATATTCACAGCTGAACTCGCCATTGCTTTTTCAAACAAACACACTAAATGTAATTTTTAATTTTTCCGCGAAATTTACTATGATAACGCAATTTCGGAGCACCTGAGATCACCCCCAGTTTTTGAAGGGGTTCGTGTTGCTTAGTCTTTAGTTTTCTATGTTGTGTCATCTATACTATTATTTGTCTATTTGTCTTTCTATTTTTGGCCATGGCGTTGTCAGTTTGTTTTCGATCTATGAGTTTGACTGTCCCTCTGGTATTCTTCGTCCCTCTTTCAGAATGGCGGGCTTTAATATAAGTCCCATTGTTGTCCTAAGAAATTAGCAACAACGGTCGTTTCTAAGGGCTTGCTTTCCGACTGTTAATATCAGACATTCTAGATATTTGTGTACGCTTCAGAATATATTAAAATTTGATAAAAAGAGGATTTCCAGGTGAAAAGTGCGAGTGTTTTGCATATTATCTTTTTTTTTACAGCGAGTGGCACATTGATAGTAAAAATAAATATTAAATTAAAAAAAGAAATAGCAAATCACATGAATTGATTTTTACATGAAATTTACGTGAACTTTTAAAATAAAGTAATTCAAATAACATCTAAAGTTTCAAATTTAATTAAAATCATAAAAAATACCAAATTTTGTTTGGGTAAAGTTAACGTAGATTTCATGTGAAAAATTTCACGTGAAATTCACATGAAAATTTTCACGCGAGTTTCATGTATAAGCTCGTTTGATTTGAATTTCATGTGAGATTAATGTGAAACTCACGTGAGCAAATTTTGCCTGTGATATTCGTTAGTGGTAAACAATACTGTGTCATATTTGGCTTCACTGAGGTATAAAAACGAAAGACTGTCTATTCACATCAAGATAAACATCTTTATGTTTTTAGATAAATGCATTTGTATTTATATTTTAGGACAACAAATTTCTGAACAAAGACATGATAGCTTAGTAGATAAAAGGGAATTTAATAGTACATTGTATAGAAAAAAGATTGATTGTTCAAAAATTGTTGGTGATGTAGTGAATAAATATGTATTAGAAATAGACGAAGAACAAAAATGTCGAGAGATTGTCTCAAATATGGCCCAGGTAGCATTGCAAGCAAAAAAACATGAGAGCGGAACAACAGTGAACAACAAACAACTATGATATATGAACGAACAACGTTGCTTACAAGAATTTCACCAAACAGTATAACTAGTAACTAAAGATGAGTTTTTATTGTATTGTTTAATAGGTGTCCTTTAGTAACAAGTGTCTTTACGCACAAAGACAATAAATGTTTTAAATTAATGCCATTCGTACAGTAAATTACTTAAATTTTCTTAATTTGTTTTTGTTTCATCGAATTCAATTAAATCTTTTCTTACATTCTAGTAAATAGTAAGTCCAATTTCTACTGAATTTACTTCACACTATTAGGGCCATTTTCCAAAAGCATTTTAATCTTTACAAAAAATTAACTATATCATAAGATGTGTTTACTTGACAGTTAAAACAATATAATGGATGAAAAATTATAAACTTCTCAGTGAACCACATTTTTGAAAAATTTTGGTTAATTGTTGGTATTTGTCCAAAAAATCAAAAAAATTACAGGAAGTAAAATTAAAATTGCTTTTCGGATACATATTAATTATTTTTTGGTTAAATACGTCCGTCGATGCAAATGTTATAATAAATAAGAAGATGTGGTATGAGTGCCAATGAAACAACTCTCCATCCAAATCACAATGTATAAAAAGTTAACAATTATAGGTCAAAGTACGGCCTTCAACACGGAGCCTTGGTTCACACCGAAAAGCAAGCTATAAAGGGCCCAAAATGACTAGTGTAAAACAATTCGAACAGGAAAACCAACGGTCTAATTTAAATTAAAAAAAAACGAGAAACGAGAAACACCTATGAACCACACCAACAAACGACAACCACTGAACAACAAGCTCCTGACTTAGGACAGGTGCATAAAAATGCAGCGGGTTTAAACGTTTTAACAGGCGCCAACCTTCACCCTAACCTGAGACAATAGTGCAACATTACAACATAAAAAGACACACTATATAATATCAATTGAAATGGCTTAACTCGATCAAAAAGACAATTAAACAAAAACAAGTAAACATACACTGAACGAATAATTTTGATCTATGACACAATATAAATACAATATTAAAACGTAGGCGCCTATATAACATAGACGTTACAGGTAGTAATAAAAAAAGATGTAAGATGAGTGTCAAGAAGACAACTCTTACCTGGGACAAAATGGCGTAAATAAAACAAAGTTTACAGGTAAATTTAAATATAATAAATTTGTTGTTAGGAGTACGGAAGTAAACGTTTTTTACAAAATTAATAAATTTGTTGTTCAGAGTACGTGTACAGAAGTGAAAATTTATCGTCATACTAGATACTTATCAAAGGTGGTACATATAAAAAATAGTGAGGCGGAGAAACATACGTATCAAAATGGCTCAAACAGCAATATAATAATGCAGAATAACATTTTCATTTATGGAAATATGTAAAATTGTACAAAAAAAAGATCTTATTACATACACTCTCCAAATTCCAACTTCAAATAGATTTTAAGACATTTAAGATATTTTACTGCAGACTACATAGCTACCTAATTGCGAAAAGGCTAAAATAAAAGCAAACATTTGTATAGCTTTATGATTTTCAACATAAAAGGGGTAGTAGTTACCTACCTACCGGTTCTGGCGCAAAATTATCAATGCAAACCCTATGGGAGTGAAGTTAACCTCCCAGAGTTAAACTCCCTAATAATGACGTCATGATGCAGTGTTGCATCACTAATTATTTGTTAATTAATTATTTACGGTAATTAAATTTAGTTCATCAAAAAGCAAATTATATTTTAATTGTGTAGGAGTATGATTATCAAGGTCTTATGGGTCATTAAGTAACAAGGTGCAGATATTTTTTAAATACCTATTTTACCCTTTGTAATCTGTCGTGTTATATGCTGCTGTCCGTGGCGTAATCATTGAGTGTGTATATATATATATATATATATATATATATATATATATATATATATATATATATATATATATATAATAAAGATCCATTTTGTTACATCTTGTGATCCGTTTATTTGGCAATCGCCAATGGCAGTAAGCAGGGTTTAAGAACATCCGTTGTTCGACCTGTTAGTCAAATGCGTTTTGTTAAAATATACTTTTTCACTTTTTTGGTCATTTGGAAAATGTTGTTTGTGCTGTATTTAGACCCCTCTACCAAGAAATTTGTTTTGCATGCACACGTATAAAAATTGCGGTTTTTATCCAACGCAATCATAGGTTTGAACGTTGTTTTTAATTTAGACTTATTTATATATATAATATATAAATAAGTCTAAATCAAAATTATATACCTATCAAAATAATTATTTCTGTGACTACATCTTACGATCCTTTACGATAGATACTTAGCTAATCTGCAATCAATTCCATCTTCATGCCTTATATATCATGTACTGGTTACAACTCTTAGATTCTACTGAGGAGGAAAGGTAACACTAGGCCACCGAAAGCTGAATTTTTAGTTTCGAACTCATGCTATTGGGATATCGAGACAAAACCGCCTGCACTGTGTCCAGCGCTCTAGACCACTCGGCCACCTAGACTGAACTAATAATTCAGCTTTCGCTGGCCTAGTGTTACCTTTCCTCGTCAGTAGAATCTAGAGTTGTAACACAGTACATGATATTTTATGGCATGAAGATATATTTTGATTATCGCGTTTAGTTGTATGTATAGCATATTAATACATGACTTAAGTGTATGTGTTTGAAGAAATTTTTTTTTCCTTCTATGTTTTTGTATCCCTAATGATATTTATTCTGCTTTTCAGTACCACACTAGTAATAATAACAACAATACTATGTACACTATTTAATATCCCCGTCAATTTAGACAGACATGGGTCGGAGAGCCATCCACATGTTGTCTTTACATAACAAAATTACCTTAACCATTTTATACATCGAGATAAAAGAAGTAGAGAGTCATATAATCACTCAACAGTATATTGAACCTCACTGTGACGAAAAGGCCAATTAACAGTATGCTATCTTTCGTGCAGGGGTGTAAACTGTCGAGACTTCAAGTTAGTCTTTCCGGGATAGTTACCTCTCTCAAATATCAAATAAATCGCGAGCTTTAATCCAAGAGTTGAATTTCTTTGGCCAGTGTAACCATTTCACATAGTATTGCTTGTTGGGTCCTTTGCTTCTGGTTTTGAGGATATTTTCAACTTTCCACATATCGTCTTCCCAAACATCCACTTTCTGCACTTCTGATTGGTAGAAGGTTCCTGATATTTCTTCGTCTTGAAAATCAATAAGTCTATAAATTGGAAGCCCACCTCGTAATATTCTTTGAGATATTTTAAATATCTCTCTGCTCCACCTCTCATCGTATTCCCTTGTAAATGGATTTCTTATGTATGTAATCAGAACTTTATCACCGATTTTGAAACGGAAAGGTTTTCGTACATTCTTTGTCTTAGGTTTTACTCTTTTTGGTCAATACATTTTCCACCACAGGTTTGTCTCTTTAGATAGGGTGGCTTTATCTGGCGCAATGCCAATCGTTCTATGAAAGGTCTTGTTGTAGCTGTTAGTAAAATTCTGTAAGTTATCCACATAGTCATAAGACTACTTACTGGTGATAAATCTCATGATTTTTTATTTAATAGTCTTGATCACTCTTTCAACGTAATTAGTTTAATTTTCGTATTTTGTGCAAATAAATGTTGAATATTTCTCTGTTTTAGGAGAGATTCTGCCCATCTAGACCTAAATTCTTGTCCTTTATCTGTTCTTATTCTGCTTGACGATCTTCCTTCTGACAAAAACATGTTTCAAAGCATTCGCCAAGGATTCACCTTTTTATCCTTTATAGGTCTTAGCCATACATATTTGGAGAATATATCAATCACCACCAATACGAAATTAATTTCACTGTTAAATTTCGAAAATTTTGACATGTCCATTAAATCGACATCCCATTGGTCGTCTATTCCAATTACGATAACTCTGTTCCGCTTAAACGACCTGTTTAAGGGTCTTTGCAAGCTGTATGGCTCTTGCCGTTGTAGCCATTTTCTTATCCTGTATTTACTGAGAACGAATTTTCCATCTTTTCGAACAAATCTGTAAAGTTTATCAGGCCCTGAAAAACTCGCTGGTTTAGCTGGATTGTAATAAATATTTCTCAAGTACTTTTCCCAAGAGGCCATCTTTACACATGGAATGATGAATATATGACATGCATACGACCTTCAACAATTAGCAAAGCCCATACCGCATAGTCAGCTATAAAAGGCCCCGAAATGACAAATGTAAAACAATTCAAACGAGAAAACTAACGGCCTAATTTATGTACAAAATGATGAACGAAAAACAAATATGTTACACAGCAACAAATGACAACCACTGAATTACAGGCTCCTGACTTGGGACAGGCACATAAGTGTTTTTGCGTGTGTCTGTGCTGTATTTCTGTCACGTAGTGTTGTCATTTTAGCGATATTTTTTAACATTGCCATATAAGCGCGAGGTTTGGCTAGCCATAAAACCAGGTTCAACCCACCATTTTTTCTTAAAACGTCCTGTATCAAGTCAGGAATATGGCAGTTGTTATCAAATAGTTTGTTTCTATGTATGTTGGCGTTTGTTTTTGTTGCACTGCAGTGTTTCTGTTGTTCCTTTGTTTACCTCTTATAGTTGATGTGTTTCCCTCGGTTTTCGTTTGTAACCCGGATTTGTTTTCTCTCAATCGATTTATGACTTTTGAACAGCGGTATACTACTGTTGCCTCTACATACAGAATGTAGTGGGGTTAAACTAGTTTGAAGGCGCCAACCCTCCCCCTAACCTGGGACAGTGGTGTAACAGTACAACATAAGAACAAACAGTAAAAATCAGTTGAAAAAGGCTTAACTCATCCGATGGATACAAATAGAAATACATCTAACGATACTCGCAGTTACTGAAAGCTAGTTCAAAGCCATTCACCACTAATAAAAAAACATGCATCTAAGACTAAAATGTTCATGTTCATTTTATATCATAAATTTCATGTTCATTTTATATCATCCATTTCATGTTCATTTTATATCATCCATTTCTTAATATCCATTTCATGTTCATTTTATATTATATCATATACTCATCGTCTCATACAACATCTTTTGTTGCTGATATGCAAAACAATATCAATAAACATCAATCGTTCAAAAATATTCTTCTCAAGTACAGCTGTA